GAGAGAGAGAGAGAGAGAGAGAGAGAGAGATTGAGAGAAAGACAGAAAGAGGCACATGTCCAGGCATACCCATACAGAGGTACCCATAGACCAAAAGGAGGCTTGGAAGGTGGAGGTGTGTGTGTGTGTCTGTGTGTGCTTGTGTGTGTGTGGGGGTGCCCGCGCGCGATTTTGATTGTATGTGTTAATGTGAATGAGTCTTGCAAAGACTATTGTTGAGGGGAAACAACTACGTGTTATGCCGGCGAAATAGTAAAACATGATTCTTTCCCTTTACGCCATTTATTTGTTTGCAAAAGATTAGCTTTCTTCACGTTTTTACTTTTACTTTTATCATTGCAATTGCAAGTTTTCCATAGACAGGAACCGAATAAAACACAAGTGTTTAATCTCTGTCTAAGAATGGACAGAAAAGGTTAAAAGGAGATTTACCTACTGTTATTCTTTGCTCTTTACCTTTTATATCCGCCTGCACCACACGGTGTCGAGAGGATTTTTCTGGTCTTATTCTTCCACTTAAGTCGGTCAAAAAGAAGCTAGCCGGACTTATAATCTTTGCTGGTTTTAATTCTTTACCTGTACAATGAACATTGACTATCTATTTCATTGTGTTTCTGGGGGGACATTGCAGTCATGTATGAAGTGTTGTGTACGGTGTTGCAGTTAGGCACTTCCCCGTAGCACGTAGGAGACCCAAGCTCGATGTCCGAGTAGGGAGAATAAAATTTCTTTTTTATATCTAGATCTAGTATCTCGGTATTTCTGCTGTGATATTGTATCCCTCTCCGCTCGCAGGTTGCTAATGGCCGGAAGAGTCGAAGTCGACCTCCTAAACTATCTAAAATTGGGTCGATAAGAGAGTAAAACGCGTGCATACAAAGTATTGTGTAATATTTCTTGTTTGAGATTACAGAATGTAGCTGTTTATAGCGGAACCTTTTTTGTTTTTTGTTTTTAATTCTTTGATTCTTTTCTGTTGCAGGAAGAAAAAACTGATCATAGAAGGGTAAGTGTTTAAGACAAAGTAGATACACAATTTTCACACTCTAGAAACCGCCGATTTTGCTCATGATATTTTGGAAGGCAAAATTCGGCAATGTGAATTTCTAAAGGAACAAATTCTGAATTATCTGAAGATCAAAGTTTAAAGCTGCTCTTGAAAAGCTTCTTCGTATAGAAGCTTGAAACAGTTCTGAAGATACTATACAAACACACAGACACACACTCAAGCACAAATACCTACACTTACTCTCAGACACACACACACACACACACACACACACACAGAGAGAGA